CTCCTTGCGTCGTGAATCCATCGTGTCTGCCCAAATGACGCATGAATCCGCCGCGAGGTGTGTTGCCGGAGCCTCACCGGAGGTGGTGCGGTCCGTCTGACGACCGAATGTTGTGGCGGACGCACAACCCCTCCGTTGGCGCGCCGAGTAGGGGGTGAACGCATGGGCACCATCCGATGAGAACATGGCGCGACGTGCCCGCCGTGCGAGGCAACAGACGTGGGAGACAGCGGCAACCCTTACGGTGGTGGACGTTGGAGAGGCATAGTCACATTCTCCGGCGCCTCAACGGATGGCCTGCAATCCCGAGCGCCCCAACCGCGTCGTGGTGGATGTCTTCGGCCCTCCCAGGACAAATCCATCATCGATCTCACACGTCCACCGGCTCCGTCAGGGTTCCGGACTCCGATGAGAAAAAGTAGGGCGTGGGAGACGGTGGCGTCTTTGAGTCTTGTGAGTCAGGCCGTGTCCCATGTTCTACTCTACTTCATCGGTGACTGGACCAACACTCTATGGGGCGCAGCCTGCCGCCAGACATGAGCGCAGCAGAGCCGGACGAGCTCCGCTTAAAATTAGATTTTAATAGTATGAATTTAAGGTTTTTAATTTGAGGTATTTGGTTTTGGAATCATTTCTTTTACGATGTGACTAGTCACTGCTGGCGGACGCGCTTGAGGGTGTCGGATTTGCAAGTCCGGGTGTAGATGCTCTTGATCAACATATTCGTACATTTTCAACCTGAATTGGAATCCCTCTATAATATCTTGAAATTGATATGAGTAACTTGGACTGTTCAGCAAAATGAAGCCGATCAACCGTAAAAGGTCCGGCCGTCTTCCTCCTCCGGCCGATCAAAGCGGCTTGACGCCGTCATAGCCGAAGTTATAACGTTTGGACTTGTGCCTGATCACCCGGAGGTTTCTTGTGCTGGCATCGCCGTCCCTTACAACCTCCATGCCGGCGAGCACCGCAAAGTTACATTCTTCGCTCGTCTCAAAGAACCTCGCGATGCACAGTCGGCCGGAGCCCAGCGGCAGGAGGCGGGCCGCGGTCGTCCTCCACGCTTCCGGCGGAGCCGGCGGGTCCTCCCACGCGTGCAGCAGCGCCGGAGGCACCGTCGTGGTCGCAAGGTCGGCGGCGCAGACGCAGAGGTGCCCGTCCTTGTCGGAGAGCCCGAACCAGAGGCCGTGCTCGGGCACGTACTCGGCGCGGCCTTTAAACGGCAGCGCCCACTCGCCGGCCTTGCTCCACGCGCCGCTCGCCGTGTCGAACGAGTACGTGCCGGCCCCCGTCGTCGCGGACACCCAGATCCGCGAGCCGCCGACCACCGTGTTAGAATATAGAGTTGTAATCTCAACCTCCTTCCTTCTCTTGTATTCTACCCAAACTCTTTCTGTCATAACCTTGTACGTCAAGCCAGGCTTCGGCCACGCATCAATATAAACTACCACGCGGCTCCCTCGATGGAGTAGGAACGCTTCATATCTTTCATGGTAATCAGAGCCACCTCTTCTCATACATCTAGCCACAATCCAAAACCCTAGAAACCACACATCATCGTCTCCATGGCTTCCTCTGTCGGCGTCTCCCTCAACCTTGGATCGCCGCCGTCTGAGAAGCTCGCAAGAGGTAATTTCATCCTCTGGAAGACGCAGGTCCTCCCAGCCCTGCGAGGCGCGCAGGTGACGGGGCTCCTGGACAACACCGATGCCGCTCCACCCAAGATGGTGGAGATCACGAAGGCAGACAAGACCACGACCCTAGAGCCAAATCCCCTATACGGACCCTGGATCGCCAAAGATCAGCAGGTTCTATCATACCTTCTCAATTCCATGTCTCCAGAAATTCTTGCACAAGTTGTTGGGAAAGATTCCACCTTTGAGCTCTGGACGACGGTGACAAATCTCTTCGCCTCACAATCTCAGTCTCGGATTACTAATCTGAGAATCGCCATCACCAATACCAAGAAGGGCTCGATGTCAAGCTCGGCGTATATGGCGAAGATGAAAAGTCTTGGGGATGAACTAGCTGCTGCAGGTCGTCCCGTATCTGATCCGGAGATGGTGGACTATATTCTGGCCGGACTGGACCGCGACTACGACCCCGTGGTGGCGGCGATCGGCGCTGTCAAAAACATCATCACAGCGTCAGGCGGGACCAGCGGCGGGACCAGATCCTCCCCGCACCACGCGCGCATCCAGTCGCGGTCGGGTGGCGGATCCTCTGCGCCAGTGCCTGCAGAAGGGGCAGCCACACCAGAAGCCACAGGATCCCCTGCGCATATGACGACAAATCAGTCCACTGCATCAGCAGATTCTCCTGGATCTTCTGTGGCAAGTATACCAGCGGTGCAGCGAGAGGTTTCTTCACGTGTTATGACCCGGCTACAGAAAGGTATACGGAATCCTAAAATTAGGAAAGATGGAACTATACCATATGGAATGTTGTGTATTTCAGGAGAACCAACATCGTTGAAAAATGCACTTGATGATCCTAAATGGAAAAAGGCAATGGATGAGGAGTATTCTGCGCTCATGAGGAATAAGACTTGGCATCTTGTACCAAATCAGAGAGGTAAAAATATTATTGATTGCAAATGGGTGTATAGAATTAAGAAGAAGGCAGATGGCTCCATTGACAGATATAAGGCACGTCTAGTTGCAAAGGGCTTTAAGCAACGTTATGGCATTGACTATGAGGACACCTTTAGTCCCGTTGTGAAAGCTGCAACTATCAGACTTGTGTTAGCCATTGCTGTATCCAGAGGATGGAGTTTAAGGCAGCTAGATGTACAGAATGCGTTTCTGCACGGTGTTCTGGAAGAGGAAGTGTTTATGAGACAACCACCTGGGTATGAGAGTAAGAAATTGCCACAGTATGTCTGCAAGCTTGATAAAGCACTCTATGGTCTAAAGCAAGCACCCAGAGCATGGTATTCCAGATTGAGCTCACAGTTAAAATATCTTGGCTTTGTTGCTTCCAAGGCTGACACATCCTTGTTTATTTATAATAAGGCAGGAGTAGTCATTTTTGTGCTTATATATGTTGATGATATCATAGTTGCAAGTTCTTCACAAAATGCTACTAATGCTCTTTTGCATGATTTGAGCTCAGAGTTTGCCTTGAAGGACCTAGGTGATTTGCATTTCTTCTTGGGTATTGAAGTCAAGAAAACTCAAGATGGTATTGTGTTAAATCAGGAAAAATATATTCTTGAGCTTCTGTCTCGCATGGGGATGAAAAATTGCAAGCCAATGCCTACACCTTTATCCTCCTCAGAAAGTCTCTCAGCATATGAGGGTGAGCCACTTCAAGAGGAGGAGAGTACAAGGTATAGGAGTACTGTGGGAGCACTACAATATTTAACTCTCACACGTCCAGATATCTCATTTGCTGTCAACAAGGTTTGTCAATATCTTCATGCACCTACTTCTGCACATTGGTCAGCTGTCAAGAGGATTGTGAGATATGTGAAACATACTATGGGAATAGGACTTCATTTCAAATGGTCTAATTCTTCTCTTGTGAGTGCATTCTCTGATGCTGACTGGGCAGGATGTAGTGATGACAGAAGATCAACTGGAGGTTTTGCAGTGTTCTTTGGATCTAATCTTATCTCCTGGAGTGCTAGAAAGCAAGCTACTGTGTCACGCTCAAGTACAGAAGCTGAATACAAGTCTTTGGCTAATGCAACTGCTGAGATCATTTGGGTTGAATCACTTCTTGAGGAATTGGGAATCAAGAAGAATCGTATCTCATGTTTATGGTGTGATAATTTGGGAGCAACATATCTGTCTGCAAATCCAGTGTTCCATGCCAGGACAAAGCACATAGAAATTGATTTTCACTTTGTACGAGAAAGGGTTGCGGCAAGGAAACTTGAGATTCGATTTATTCCTTCTAAGGATCAAGTGGCTGACGGTTTTACAAAAGCACTACCAGCAAGACCATTTGAAGAATTCAAGAGTAATCTTAACTTAGGTTAGTTGAGATTAAGGGAGGGTGTTAGAATATAGAGTTGTAATCTCAACCTCCTTCCTTCTCTTGTATTCTACCCAAACCCTTTCTGTCATAACCTTGTACGTCAAGCCAGGCTTCGGCCACGCATCAATATAAACTACCACGCGGCTCCCTCGATGGAGTAGGAACGCTTCATATCTTTCACACGTGGTACCATTCGTCGTACCGTGATGATGGGCAGTCGTCGTGGTCCGGGCAATGATCGAAGGTGGGAGACGGGAGAGGGCGCCAGTGCCAGTCCTCCGCCCGGCGGTCCCCGGGCTGGCGGCCGTAGACGAGAGCTTGGAAGTACGGCGTCTGGTATCCGCCGTCCCCGAGCGACATGACGTACAGGCCGTCGCCGACGGTGACAGACACGAGGAAGTTGGACCTGGCGGGCGAGTGCAGGGGTGCCGGCTGCATGGTGCGGAGGGCGCCCGACGCGCCGTCGTAGAGGACGGTGCCGCCCCTGCCGTTCACCACGACCACGTCGTTCTTGAGGGACATCATGGCCATCTTCCCGGACTCCCGGGAGTTCTCATGGCAGGGCTCGAAGGACACGGCGGCGCGAGGCAGCCGAGCCGTAGCCGGGGCCGGAGCGTTGACCGCCATTGTCGCTGCCGCTGCTAGCTTCGGTGATCCGGCCGGGTAGAACAAGCCTCACGGATCGATGCGGTGGAGATGGAACCGGCTGCCGCTGCCGCGGCATTCCTCGACGAGTAGATCCACGAGTCGGCGCTTCATGCTTGGTGCTCCTCGCACAAAAGAGTAGATGGAAGAAATCTAGAAAAAATCAGGATTATTTCATCAACAATATCCCGATTTCTCAGTTCTCGACAGATTTTTTTGAGCGTTAACTTAATCTCCAAGAATGTATAAAACCGATTTTCTCGCCATGATTTTCTCCCCATTTTTCAAGAAAATCGCTGTTTTTCTCCTGATTATCAGGGGTTCAGTTTATCAACACGTACCAAAGAAAATTCAGAATCTTGAAGCAAAGCATGAGCCGCCGCTTTGTGAATCTGCTGGTCAGCAGCTTGCGCCGCCGCGTCCACCGCCCGGACTTCTACGTGCACCGCGTCGATCCCACGAGCTTGTTCCACCCCGCCGGATCACCGCAGCCAGCAGCGGCAGAGACGTCCGGCGCTCCGGCTCCGGCTCGGCTGCCCCGCGCCGCCGTGTCCTTCGACTGGCCCTGCCCGCCCAACCAGACCGGGTGGATAGAGTTCATGGGCTTCGGCGACGACGTCGTCGCCCTCGACCACGACGGCCGCACGCTCCTCTACGACGGCACGTCGGACGTTGTCTGCATGATGAACGACGCGGACTCGCCCAGGCCCAATCCCATCTCCGTCACCGTCGGCGATGGCCTCTACGTGTTGGCGACCAACCCCGGACGGCCGCCCCACACGTACTGCTTCCAGTCGCTCGTCCACGGCGGCACATTCCCCGGCTCCCCATGGAAGGAGTGGCACTGGCGCTCGCTCGAGTCGCCGCCATTCGATCCCAAGTTCGCGACCACGGACAAGTATCCCACCAGATTCAAGCACGACCTGGGGCCGGCGGAGGCGGTGGCCCCGCGCGCGATCGACGCCTACGCGGTGGTCGGCGACTCAGAGATCTGGGTGTCCACGGTCAGCGCCGGTACGTACTCCTTCAACACGGCGAGCGGCGAGTGGAGCGCGGTCGGCCACTCTGCGCTGCCGTTCAGAGGCCGCGCCGAGTACGTCCCCGAGCACGGCCTCTGGTTCGGCTTCTCGGACGGCGACGAGCACCTCTGCGTCGCTGACCTCGCGCAGGAACCGCCGGAGACGCAGGTCTTTCCTCTTCGGCACGTGTGGGAGGACCCGCCACGGCCGGAAGCGTGGACCCCGACGGCGATCCGCCTCCTGCCGTTGGGCTCCGGCAAACTGTGCGTGGCTAGGTGCTTCCGGAGAACCAAGGAGGGGGAGAGGCTGCTCCCGTCGGAGTACAGGCACGAGAATTCCGAGAGCTTCTGGTGCTCGCCGGCGTGGAGGTTGTCAGGGACGCCGGCACGAGAAGCCTGGAGATGATCCAGCACAAGTCCGTGCTTTACAGCGTCGGTGAAAATGTCGTCAAACCCCTGTGAATTTTGTATAGTAGTGCTGCTATCGCAAAGCGAGGATCAAATGTGATTGCGGACCGGTTAAAATCTCAATGCTAAAATCTTATGTCTTCGTGTCCTATCATGTGCGTTGGCCATGAATTCAGACCACCTTGCTCGTCGGTAGTCCCTTTTTTATATAGGAAAGGCACAGGTATATAGGAAAGGCACAGGCCGAGCCTGGGCGAGAGGGACTACTATCTCCTCTGTCCCCTCTCGCCCAGGACCGAGGGCGTCGACCCGTCGGACAAACCGGACCACGTGGCGAGGAGGGCACGTCATCTTGAAGAGGAGGCCGGCCGACCATGGCAAAGCAACACCACTGAAGAGAGAACCGCTGTCATAAAAAACGTGCTGCAGCCATCTCACCTCCTCGCACATCCAAAGCGGCGCCTTCAAGAAGGTGACGGAGCCAGGCATCGCCGCCGCCCAACCAAAGTTGTGGGTTTTCATCCGGGTGCATGAGGAGGATGAGGGGGAGGAAGATGGATCTCGAAGCCGCCTTTAAGGAAACAACGCTTGGAGCGCCGCCGACGTCGTAGCCGCCGCAACCGGCCCAGAAATTACTCCGATCCAGAGCTCCCAACCCCACATCAGCATAGTCAGCCACCGGATTCAGCCGGATTGATGAGGAGGAAGCAACAACACGGGGACGCCGTCTTCAGATCTGGCGAAGGAGAGCAGCAGGGGAGACCTCCACGCGCCGCCCGCATCCACCACCGACTCGCCCCCCGTGCGGCCGAGTGAAGGCGGCCCACAACACCGGCGAGCGCCACCCGCCGCCAGGACCCGCTGCCTCAAACCCTAGGCCCGGCCGTTGATCATTGTTGCAAACCCCCTTGCCAGCAGCGATCCTCTTGGCAGCAACCTTATAGTAGAAAAAGCAACACCGATTTTAAACATGGAACATCCAACAGATAGTGGATTTTGTCAACAATGATTCATGCCGCGGACGATTACTATCAGATTAATTTTTACATGCAGATCAATGTTGTAATCAACAACCATCGTGCACTTCCGCAATTCTCTCATCATACTCAGCAAAACATATTTTCATACACATCACGGATTCAAAACAGTCGAAACCAGAAAACACAGGCAAACAATGGAGGATAAACATGTGGCAATCGTCTCAAGGACCCAAGTAGCTGTCGGCGTACACAGATGCACTGAACTGCTGTTGCTTCCAAGCAAATTTCACCTCTGCTCCTATGGTGCACAACTGGTTCAGTTTCTAGTGGTATCGAAACCCCTGCTTTCGACTGAGAACATGACAAAATTTCAGAGGACTATTGTCAGGTCTGAACTAGTGTCGCTTCCTCTGGCCGCCTTTCTGGTGTTTTCTCCGTCCCGCGCTCTGTCTACGCAGCTCATTGGAACCACCGTCGTCTTCCTTTTCTCCATCGAGCAGTATGTTCATCCCGAGGTCGAATCCGTCAGTCAGGCCTTGTAACCTGTACACAGAAACATGTCAGTTCATAAGTTGGGTAAAAGTGAAAAAATCCCAAGAGACGAGCTCAGCTTAAAGTGGCCAAAGCTATCAGCCATTCATTGATGTGGTTGATGGGTTCTTCACTTCATAATGGGGTGCACTGTCGTGCAAAATAAAATCCATGAACTCTGGAGGATAATGGAACATACCCGTGAAGCTGCTTCTTCATCTGCTTCTCCATGTACTTTTCACGCTTGGTTACTGGAGCTCGGGTGAACAGCTCCTCTTCTGCCTTCTCTTGCTTCTCTCTCTGCCGCATGTAGGTCATAAATTCTTTGCTTTCATCACCCGCTGTTTCCTTCCACTGCAAGATTGTGTAGACAGCTTAGTTAGCTCGATGTAGCTTAGTGTAGCTAACTATACAAACATACACAATATACAAACCTTTTCAGGTCTATCAGCAGCATCATCAATCATCTCCTTGAAGTAAGGATTCTCTGTTGTCATGCGTAATAATCTTTTCTCTTTCCTTACAGCGTCTTTACTATGACTATCATCCATGGCAGCTGGCCCAATTTTCGGAGGAACGTAGATACCATCTTTGCCCTGAAGTCAAACAGCTAAACACATCAGACACAACAAATCTGTGTAAACTGAACTCTAGTCATGAAATGATCATTACTGATAAAAAACAGAGCGACCTATATTCACGTCATTTAACAGGAATTGTGCAGTTAGGAATAAGGCAGCATTTAAGCAACTGGTAGCAGTATCTACAAAGGCAAAATATAAGCTATGATAGAGTTCACTCAAAACCAGGCACATAAACCAAGTTACAGTGTAATCTCGAATTCATCAGAAGTTGTTAAGTAGCAACTTAATTTGATTTTGCAAGACACTGCAGTGGAAATATTGATTTCTCACCCAACTGACAACTATATTATGTACAGAAAACAGCTCAGTAAGGATGGGCAGATTTGATGTCATACAAATATATGTAAGATTTATTGATTGGTAACTGATTGGCGTGTGTGTGTGTGTTTGTTGAACAGAGTGATGAACAGTCGAGCATTATCACCTTAACACAGCACTAAGAGAAAACATCAGTTAGTAAGTGAGAATTTCACCTGTCCTTCAGGAGCAATTTTGATATCCATCATATCCGGGTTTGGCCGGTACCCCAACAGGTCGCCCTCGCCTTGTTGCCCGCCCTTCCCATTGACCTCGGGTATCCTGGGCAGCTGCACCATCTGCAGCATTGGTGAGCTTCTGGATCTGGTACTCCATCTTCTTGTCTATCGGGCGAATCTAGCACACAGAATTCAACATAAAACAATCTACTATTAGACAGCTCCATAAATCAAGACTGGCAGCTTAGCAATCAACACTCAAGGGCACATACGCACACCTTCCCAAGAAACAGCCTGATCTCGACAAGGCCGCGCACGACGGGGTGGCCATCGACGGACAGCCCCTTGGCCTTGCGTAGCAGGTAGCAGACGAGGCCCTGGCAGTAGCTGAGCAGCAGGTGGTGCTTGGCCTCCAGGTACCGGCCCGATCCCTTCGCCCGTCGGCAGCTGCTTCTTCCTCGCCTACACGGGACAGAAACCGGGCCTGCGCCTTCCTCTCGTCGTCAGCTCCGGCGACGGCGGCCGTCATCGCCGCCGTCCGCCCTGCCGAGACGGGGAAAGGCTAGGGGATCGTTCGCCGGCTGGGGGCGGCCGCGCGAGCAGACGAGCCGCCGGGCGGCGGTGCTGCGGGGGAGAGCGCCGGCGGGGTTGGGTTGGGAAAAAAGAACCCTGGCTGCTCAGCGCTCGCAGCAAGCTGGCTTCCTTCTTCTTTTTTTTTTTTTGAGGGAAAGCTGGCTTCCTTCGGGGGGCCGCCCGCGGTAAGGGGATAGGCCCAGGGCTTCGCATCACTCGCCGATTATGGGCCCAATCTCATTCTCAGCTGCTGCAAGTCCATGTGGAGGCCCAAGTTGGCGTCAACGGCTTTGGGCGGGTGGTGGGTGGGAAGAGAGGGAGGGAGCGATGGCGCGCGCGCCGGGAATTCATTTGGGGCGATGGATCTGATCCTGATCCTGATCGGATTCAGCGGGAGGTGGTGGTGGGAGGCCGAAAATTTCGAACCCAAGAAGAAGTGGGCGCGCGTGCGGCCTAGCACCATTTCCCGCTTGCCGCTCTGACGCAGCCGACGCCCCGCACTCCCACCTCAACCGATTCTCGCATGCATTTACCCTTGTACCCCCAGCTATTTTATTTACCTACCCTTCTGCGGCTCTGCCCCCTTAGCCTAAGCCTACCCCGCAACATGTTTTTGTGTTCATCTAAAAAAACTATCGTTGTCTCTCGTTAGAATGTATCCCCTCCATCCGAAAATACTTGTCGGAGCAATGGATGTATCTAGACATATTTTAGTTCTAGATACATCAATTTTTATCCATTTCTTCGACAAGTATTTTCGGACGGAGGGAGTAATATGGTACGGTTTTCTAAAAATTCATTCATCTTTTTAAAAATTCTACAGGAGCAGCAACATCACGGCGGGGGCATCGACCGTCAACCGTTGCCCAGCCGGCTAGAGCAAAGATGCAGTGCGATCCGTTGTACGGTTCGATTCCCTTGTTTTTGTTCATCCGTTAGCCCTCAGGAGAAGATGATGCGCACGCACGGCATGTATGCTGAACACGCCAGACAATCATATCGATGATTGGTCGTGACGAAGCCGGAGGAGAGGCCATGGAGGTAGATATACGAGTGGAATCTTCTATCTCATGTTCGACCTCTTTCCACAGAGACGCTTCGATAAGGCGCTAAGTTTTCATTTAATTGTTTATTTATGATCTAAAACCTTTCATGTGTGTGTTGCGGTCCATTTAGGCCAGCCTTCTCGTCTATGTAACGTTCTTGGCACCTGAAAAGAAAACTTGCGGGCGCATAATTCACAGCCAAAGAGGAGGAGGGCAAAAAGGGAAACACGCTAGACCAGGGGGAAAATTTGGCGCACAGCAGAGGGGCGCAACCGGTTCCCGGGCTGGGACGGCGGGGGCGTGCGCGGGAAGGAGGAGGAAAAGAGGCCCAATCCATCCACCCATCCCGCCCGCCCGTCCGTCCGTCGATCCCAATCTCTCATCCGATCCCCAATTTAATAGCGCCCGACGCCGAGCAAGCGCCTCCCAGAAGCCACAACACAACACACGCGCACCCCCGCCCGTTCCCTCCGT